CACAGCAAAAGGCAGCCGACGTCGTCATCATAAATGTTTGCATATGAAGTGCAGTGGGCGTGGCATGCACTTCAGTTGCGGCATTGAAAAAAAAAAGAAATAAAACAGGCTCACAGAAAAATTCTTGTGCCAGGATTAAAAATGCAGCGCATTGAATTTGCACGAGGCAGCCACCTTTGCCACGCCCCGTGCCCCCTGCCGTCCGCATATTTCGCAACAAATAATGATGCACTTGAAAAATGTTTTGGAGTGTGTGTGCACAACGACAACAACAACAACAACAACGAGCAACAATAAGGGAAACAAAAAAATCATTAAAAACAGTCCTTGCTCGGCCGCCCACCCACAACGCCCACAAAAGCTGCGTCTGGATTACATTATTAGAGAAGCTGCTCCATGCCTTGAATATCCACACCATTAATATTGCATTTAACGCTGCAATTGTCCCGAGAGCAACTACGGGCCTGCACTCATCCCCCCCATCTACACGTACACTCCTCACACCTCAGATCTTGAAAGTCGCCGTCTGCCCCGTCTAAATAGCCCTAAAATGTTTAATTCATTTTATGCGATTTCATTCAGCGCCTGTTTTAATTATGAGCAGAGCTCCTCGGAGTGGGCTACACTGGAGTGGAGTTGAGTGGGATGGAGTGGGGTGGAATGGAGCTATGCCGCAGACCCATAGGTGGAGGGCAGAGTGGAGTGAGGAGCCAGTCAACTGACTTGTGTAATTTGTGCACAAGTTTCATTTACTTTAGGGGGCGTCATAATCTTCAGTTGCTTACTTACCCTGCCCAGTAGCTAATGCTGTGCCTGACTCCTGCTCCACCTGCCGCCTGGTGACAGCCACGCTGGGCGTCATCTCACTCAGAAATCGTCTCAATGGCCTTGCCGGGATGCTGACAGCCTGGCCAGCATAACGTCGCTGTGATTATGCACTTGATGTGATGTGCATAAAGCTGAATTTTAATTATGAGTAAATATTTAAACCATTAAGCTTGAAAAGTGGACTGAGTGCAGAATATCGTTCTTCATAATGCGGTTGCTGAAGATATAATGCTTAAAATATATATGTTTCTAGATGCGCTTATATTTAAAACCTGGAGTTTTAGGTGGAATATTTCTCTTCCGAAAAATTCACATGTGGTCGGTTCAAAACCAGGGCTAGCTGAAAATGGTTTAACCTCTTTATTAATCTTACATTTAAAGTTGAATGCGGGACGTTACAATAGTTGGGCTGTTAAAATAATAAAAAAATATTTAAAAACTTAATTTAATACAATGCATTGTTTAAGAATATCTCTGCAGTTGGGTGGTTTGATGGTGAGTGAGTGAAATACATGGTAACAACCTGATTAAACGTTATTTAATTAATAAATTATGTTTGAGGTATTAAATTACCTTACTATTGTGGAAGCCAACATTTATTAACAGTTTTAATTATTGCATTTATTGAATAACGTTACAGCCTCAATTGATGACCATAAATTTTCAATGGGATCATTTAATGCAATGGCTGACCAGGCAATTAAAAACGAAATAAGGAAAAAAAAACACACACAAATTAAGCGACTTAATTAAAATAAATAAAACATCAATATGAGAAAATAATAAATTGAAAAAAAAGGCTGGCCTTTATGTGTATTTGCTTTTGTTTGAAATATTGTGTGGTAAACGCAAGTGCAAATATATATTAATTACGAAAGGCTCAGACGCGTTGGAGGCTTGGCTTCAATTAAAAGTTTCAACAGCATTCATCAAACCGCTTCAATGAGTGTCGATAACAGTCGCTCCAAAAGTATGTGTACATAATAAATAAAAAACATAAAATGTGAAACATAAAAACCAAAAAAAATTATTTTTAAAAAAATCAGACATTGATCGCTCCAATGGCTAACTTTTCAACAAAGCCATGAAAAAAATTATTTCATTTGTTTCTCAACTGTGGGTTCGAGCAACGTGGCCCTAGACAGCTCCTATTACAATTGTTGTTGTTGGCGAATGTTGGCTCCACTGGCTGCCTGCTGCCTGCTGCCGGCTGCCGGCTGACTGCTGCTTATGTGCATTTGCATGTAAAAGCAGTTGCTGCGTCGTCCTGCGTTGTCCTGCGGTCGTTGCGCTGCTCTGGAGTGTGTTGCCTCTTGAAAGTAATAGCCAAAGCGAAAGCAGTCTCCAACCCTCGGAGCACATTACCGCCGCTTGTCCCCACGTTGTTAACGTAATTTCCATAAAACATTTTGTTACTTATTTATCTTAATTAAAATAAATTTACATTTTTCTAATTTAAGGACGCTACGGCAGCGGCTCCAATACCAACAGCGACCAGTCAGCCAAGTCTTTCTACCCCACCCCTTGGCCCTGTCACCGTCGCTGTTGCTGCCACTTCTCCAGAGCGCAACTTGCTGAGCATTAGAGAGCGACATTTTCTTAACAAGCCAAAAGGACACACGCCAGATCACGGACAAGCGTGGTGCGGGGCAAACGGACAACGAAATAGCATCAACGACAACGAGAACAAAAAAATAAAACAACAAAAAAAAGAGAAAAACGCAACAAATTCTACGTAATGGAAAGTTACCTCCGCGCACTTCGTTTGGATCTCATTAGCGTTGCTAGGGAAAGTGGGCCGCTGGGGGGCGGGCATTTACCATGGCCATGGCTATCTTTTGAGCCGGAGCCGGAGCCGGAGACGAAGATATACCAGGACGGTTTGTTGTTCTTGTGACGCTGCCGCATAAGTAGCAGTCCGTTCGGCCCAGGTCCAGTCGCACAAAAAGCGTACGGAAAGAAGAAAGAACGCCCCATCCCAATGCCCCTGCTGTCTCTGGTCGTGGTCCATCAGGGAAAAGCATAAAATTAAAAGCTGACAAGCGAAATAAAAAGATTTTGCGTATTTGCGCACACTTTGTAGCCATTTCCAGCATCCTGAAGCAATTCAATACAAAATGTTTGCCTTCACGACTCCTTCTATGAGCATCAAAGTTGAGTGTGGGCGGGTTGTGGATGGCGATAGTCCAACATGAAAGCTGATGAGGGTCAGCTAATGGGCATTGAATACACAGGAAAGACACAGTTGTTTTTGAAACTGATATAAATAAATTATCAAATTGGCCATAAGGCAAATACTAGTTTTAAACAAAGACTGAAAACGTTATCTCTGTTAATTAGAGAAAATGTATGTAAGAATAATAAACTCAAATTATATTTAAGAATCGAATTTCAGACACCCGATAGAAATAAGAACTTCGGTTTGATATTAATGCTTAGATACATTTGCAAAAAAAATGGTACAGTTGTGCGCATTAGTATACATTCTGATTAGTCATTACTTGGCTTTATTTGGCCTACACAGGGCACAAAATCTGGTGAAAATAAAAGCAGGAGCAAATCGAAAATCAATACAGGCAACGCCATTTTGTAATGCTGGGTGAGTAAGAATGCAAAAGAAAAAAAAGCGTCAAATGAAACCAATACAAATCCATAACTAAATCTCTATGAGTGTGTTGGTTTGTGTGTGTACACAACAACTCTGAGCTCTGACAAGAAATTTTTAGAAAGAAGCAGCAGGCATATAAAATCAACAAAGCCCGCAACGGGGGAACATTTTTGCCATGCCGGAAAGGAGGAGTCAAGCCAGTCGAGCGGGCAAGAGAGAACAAAAACAGAAAAAAAAGAAATGAAAAAGAAAAAGAAACCAGAAAAATAAAAATAAATTCAAAGCAAACGAGACTAAAATTATAAAAATTGCCCTCCTGATGGTGCTGTTGCCGAGAGTGCGCGACCAGGACGATGAAAGCGGTGGAGGGCCAAGGAGGAGAACGAACAAGGCGAGACGAACGCGATTCCAATACGGGACATCAACGTCAACGAGGGTGGCAAACAGCCCAACCAGGAGGTGGGTGATGCTGATGTTGATGGACTGGCCGGGCAGAAACGGGCGGCTGCTGATAGTGGTGGTGGTGATGGTGGTGGTGGTACATAATGTGGCCCGTGCACTGCCGTTGGCCTGAACGGCGCATTAAGCACAGCAAACTGTGATGAAGTGTGAGAGAGAGAGAGAGAGAGAAGCTGCGAGAAGAGATGGAGGGGGTGTATATGGCCGAGGTATATATACCAGTATACATAGAGCTGGGCTGCCATGGCCCGCAGCGTCAATGGACCAAAATAATAACGACTAACGGCCTGTTAAGGGAAAATGCAACGAGGAGAGCTTTATGGGGAGCGGGCAATGGGGCATGGAGAATGGAGAATGGCTTGGTAATGGGTGTGGGTGTGGGTGTGGATGCGGGTGCTGATTTGGGTGGCTCAAGGTTTTTTAAGTGGTTGCGCGTGACGTGCACGACGAACTGGCGAAGGGAACGCTGTGGTACCACTGGAGCTGCTGACGTGGTATTTGCTTGCTCTCATTGACGCCGACATGGACATGGACGTGGATGTGGATGTAGATGTGGATGCTGATCGTAATGGTACTGCCTGTCAATTTTTTTCCACTTATTTGTACACAAAACTCTTGTTACTAGCTGCCATTATGATTTTGAAAAGCCATTGCTGTTTTTTATTACTTGTTTTCCATTTTTTGTTGTTGTTATTTTTTTTGATTTGCTTTGCTTTTTGCTGCTTTTTGCCGCTCATTGAAAAACTGTGAAATTTTATAATAAGCATTTTTTGCTGCTGCCGGATTATTGTCGATGATTGTGATTGCGTTTTATGTTGTTCCTTTTATTACCAGATGGGGAGTGGTAAATGGGGAGATTGCTCCTGGCATCTTTTTATACTGGACGCCACAGTGGGGGCCATTACAGATTTTTGTTTCTATGTGAGATTTTCTCTTATTGCTGCTGTAATATTCTTTTTGAAAAATTGTTTTCCTCCGTGTGCTCTTCTATTTATTTTATTTTGCTGTTTTCCACATTTTGCGTTTGTGCTCGTTCGGGCGATATTGATTTCAATTTAAGCTTATTAATTTTAAGTGCGATTTTTAATTAAATATTATCAAAGTGTGTAGTGGACATCATTAGGTTTGTAGCTAGCTTCCATTGGGAACTGAAGCTACTTGCAGAGGCGGAGTATTTCGATTCGCATAGCGTTGCCAATAGCGCAATTAGCCCATGACAATAGCAGGAGCAATCAAAAGGCTTCTTATCATTGTAACTTAGACTCGGTCAGTGGTTGTTTTCAGCAAGGCAAAGAACTGATAGGACATGCTGATCACCTAAAAGCACAAAAGCTGTAAAAAGTCTATTATAACTTAAAAAAAAAAAAAACGCGCTCACCTTCATGTATGTAACCAATGAAATGGGCGGAAATGTGGGCGGTCTTATCATCGCTGGCTTTTGGCTGCGCAAAATGAGCATCTTAAGCATGATGCAATAAGTTTTGCTGCACTGAAACCAGTTCTGATTGTAGGCCGCATCACCCACACGCAGACTCTGCAAAGTGTATTCATTTTTTAGCAAAATCCAGAATCACTCACTTAAATCATCACATACCGCTGCTATTAATGCATCGCCGTAGTAGCAAACTAGAAACACTTGCACCATCGACGTCATTAGAAAGATGCAGTAGATCAGAATAACTTCTACTGTGGACTCAGTCACTTGAAAGGCAATAAAACATATTTGCATTGAGGCCATCAAGAAGTTGAGTAGCAGCGAAAAACTGTACATGTTGTTGACTTGCTCGCAGAGCCTTTTACGGATAAGATATGAGTTTAGTAACTAATTTGACTGCCTGATAACAAGTCAGTGAGTCTCTTAAGAAATAAATGTGTAACTGATTTAATTATCACTTACATCAAACACTTATTATGATGCTTAATCATTGTGGTCAAGAACCGCACATTCTCCTCGTCCTGATCCGCATTACATGGGTGAGATTCGAGGCACGTCGATATGTAATTGAAGTGCATGCACAGCTGGGTGATGACCACGACGAGCAGAAGATCCGCACAGAGAAAGGCAATGCCAGCCAAGTAGGCGCCATGCGCAATATCCCAATAAGTAATCCAATATACCCAATTTTTGGTGGTTGCATCAAAGGGGAACCAGATGAGAAAGCCAAAGTTACGATCAAAGGTCTCGTAGCCCAGAAAATTATACTTGATTGTCGCCTTAAAGGCCGGATAAAAAGAAAAAGTTGTGGTATACGCCAGGCAGAGGAAAGTAAAGATTCTTATGACACGTTTCATGGTGCGCTCAAAGTCGGCCATTTGGTAGAGACTCTGTGCCGCCAGTGTCTTGGGATGCATCTCCTCCAGGTCATCCAGGAGTTGTATCATCGTTTTCCTATAGAGTGCCATAGTAATCTGCTTAAAATCAGCCACCAGGGAGAAGCCAATGCAGGGAGCTACAGCAATGGCCAGACGCACTGTCTCAAAGTCCTGTATTGACTTGTAGAAGAAAACCAGCTCACCACACACCAGCAGATTGAAGTTGATAAAACCCGCATACAGGTAGATCTTAAGCAGTAGAGAATTCAACGGATTGGTAGAGCGATGGGCATAGATATCCTCACCGATTGTCTTGTAGAAGAGCACTGGTATCCGCATCATATCCTCGAAAGTGCGAGGTGTCTCTATCAAGGAGCTGCTCATGGTTTTGATTTATTGCCGTCTGAGTTCGCTTTCTGTAACTGTACAGGATGTGGCCAAAACTTGACTTTTATACCTTCCGTTTAACTGCAGCGAACTGGGCGTGCCTGTCAACTTTTTGTGCCCCATCACGGCGCCTTGGCCAAGTGTTGATAATTGTGCGTAAAGTTTCTAACTTGTACAAGAATTTAATTAGGCGTTAGAACTATAAAGTGTCGCAGCTGTAAAATTCTCACTGATTGTACCAGACGGAGCTAGCTTCGCTGGCCGTTGAGCATTGCTAGAAAAGATTTTGCGAGCTTCAAGTAACAAAAATACATACATTCATACCAGGAAACGAAGTCGGATTATTATTATAGTTGGAATACTCTTTTAATTTATTCTTAAAATACTATAAAATCTATAAAAGCATTATTCGCAGACAGTCGCCCATTATCAAGAGATGCAGAACAAATAAATAATATTGATTTAATAATATATATCTCTACAAAATGTCGTGTGATGCATCTTATTTTAATCATATACATGTACGCATACACTTATACTGTTTGCAATACCCTAATACGTTAATTTGCATTTCAAAGTCATAAAGTTATAATCGCTTATCGCGTGTTTTAAAACCAGGCCTAGTACGTGCCCAGACTGTAAGGCCGAAACGCAATTGTGAGTAGCCAGTTTCAGCCTCAAATTGGAAGTTGGCTCGCTCGAGTGCCAATGAATGGATTTACTTGCTACCTGCACTGAACTAACTAACGATTTGATTTTTGTTCTCTTATTTTTATTTTCTTCCATAATGCTAAATGTGTTCAAGTTGAATGAAATGAAAATAATTTTTCTTGTTATCCTGCCTCCAAAGAACAAATTGAGCAGAAAATAACTAATAAAGTCGAACGTCGACGTCGCACGACATGAATAAAATGCAAAAGCCGGCTTTATGGATGGCTTGGAGCAAGCAGTCAAGAAACCAGGAACTGCCACGGACCATTAGCAGAACAGTGCAGAGCAGAGCTGAGAAGAGCTGAGAAGAGCGCACGAGGCGTAAGGCTAAGGCACGTGCAAGATGGCAGCTCAAATTGAAATGCTGCTGCCACAATGGGTAATTTTCATTTCAATTTTCGCAGTTTTGTGACCAACCCACCCGCCACACCTTCGCACTTCACTTCAAGCATTTTTTGTTCATTTGCAGCATTGAAGAGATGGGCTTTGAATGATTTTTTTTCCTATTTTTTCAATTTTTTTTTTTGCTGTTTTGGAAAAACTTTTGCCCGCAGCTACGTTTGGCAGAGAAAAAACTTTTTCCGATTGCGTTGTAGATATGCTTGTAACATATTAAAAAATGGTTTGCATTTTTTGGTTTGGGTGTTTTTAAACCTTTGGCCATTTGTAATTATTTAATTAATCAGCGATGGGCATTTGACATTCGAAACAATTCACCGTTCGTCAAATACAATTCAACAATAAATTATTTAAGCAGCAAGTAGCAATGTTAATAGCTGAAATCTCGATTAATTAGCGCAGAAAGCACAACGCTCAACTCAAACTCATTCGCATGCCACTCACTCAAAACAATTTGCAGTTAGCTCAATTCCTGTGCTGCTCTTTCACTCAACATTGCTCCTGCGTGCAGCGCTGTGAGTGGAGTGATTAATTTGAAGGGGTAATTGAGTTTGAGTGCGTCCTGCTTGAGTGGAACTCAATTGCGGCGATGTTAACATCGCTGCAATGTTTCCTGAGTCAACCCCTACAATCGATGTGTTATGTTCTGGGCCCAGCTGTTCCCATTACGATGTTTAGTGTCTACGATGTGATTTTGGGAACAGTTTTCGCTATGCGCCAGATGGCGCTAGTGTAACGCAAAAGGACATGCGAATATGAATTCAATGATTTGTCAGCAAGGATGCAGAGATTTGTACGAACTGTTTTCAATAGATGGCGTCAAGCACTTTGCCCAATCTCGAATGTTTCATTCCGTTTTCCAGGCGTTTGTTACAGGCCTATTAAATATTTCATTTTGCATATTTCAGTAGCTCTTTTAACACTTTTGTTGATATATCTCGCCTCGGCACCCGTACTCTGTTCCCTTGCTTTTAAGAGCCTGCACTTAAGCGCAGATTTTAATTACTTTCCGGCCGACTGGCAACGGCAACGGCAACGGCAACGGATGGCGAACAAAGATGCTGCCCAGCTGGCTGGGTATGGGAGATTGGGTGAGCTTGCATCCTTTGGCAACATTTGGAGAATGCAGTTATCTGACGGACTGAGTCCCGCACCCATCATTTGAATTAGCCGCCCGCTTTTGTCACTAGCGAGCGAGCAGCGGGAGTGGGAGGAGCGCCTCAAGTGCAGTGCATTATATATTCATGGCATTTACTGAAGAGAAAAAAAAATACAAAATAAAACATGGCACATGTGTTGGTGAGGGGGAGTGTCAGCGGTAGAAGCACCACCCCAAGTCAACCTCTCGCATACACATATAGATAAATGGCAAAGGAGAAACAAATGAAAGGCAAAGAAATACTGGGCAAGTGCACTTAGCAGCTTGTAGCCGCCCCAGTTGACATTGCCAAACACACACACACACACGTACACTTGAAAATAATACTCATGTGTTTATATGTGTGTATCTGTGTGTGCGTGCCGCTTGGGGGTTGTTTTCCTTGGCCATAAAAATTCGCACATGAGCAAGACAAACACACACGATGCCAGCGCAGATGGAGGAATAACAGCAACAGCAGTTGTTGTTGGGCAAAGTGGTTGCTGGCGCTGCTGTTTCTGTTTTTTCAAACCACTCCCCCCTCTTCCTCCCACATTAGCAGTCAGCTGTAGGGCTGCAATGGCCCTTTTCAAATGGCCTAAACGCTCAAGGCGCTGCCAACGCCAACGCAGCTGCCCCTTAAGTTCTGTTTCTGTTGCAATTATCCGGCCGACAACCGACAACAAAACAGCCCATGTCCATGTCCTGGCCGCCTTTTGTTGCAGCAGTGTTCCCCACCCCCTATGCGACAAGTGCAGCAACAACAACAGCAGCAGTAGTAATCAGAAACATGTAACAAAAGCTGAAACAGGCTCAAGTTAATGACTTGGCAACATGTTGACTGCAACTTGGACCAACATTTGATGCACCTGTGACTGCGTTTTATTGCATCCTGCTCCTACCCATACTCCTGGTCCTGCTCCTGCTCCTGCTTCTGCTCGCCACAAACAATGTGGCCTTTGTCTAGGAATGTCTAGGCATGCAGCTGCCGGCTTAAGCTTGAAAACCCCTTGCATGCCACACAGATCTTGCAAAACAGACAAAGCTGCAGCTGCAGCTGCCACTACTGCCACATGGCAGTGGGAAACAAGGCAAATTTGTCCAAGTTGCGTATGCTGACAAAGTGTCAGTCAATGTTGCATTTACCATATATCCATATCAGCCACAATGCGAGGCAACAATCCAACAATGAGTGTCTTCCAATTGCCAATTGGCAATCTTTGGCCGGCAATCGGGAGACGACGGCACAAACATTGGGCCACATTCGCTAAGTCACGCATGCGCCGTTGTCACTTGTCGGCGGCACTGCGACACTTTGCCGTCTGTCGCCACCATTTTTGGGCAAATAACTTGCTTTAAAATCCCGTTACCACTCAGCCAGTCAGCTATCCAGCAAGCCAGTCAGCCAGCCAGAGTCTAAAGAGTTGTCATTCACTTTGTCTGGGGACATGCGACCACCTCGTTGTTGGCTCTGTGGCGTGTTGTCGTCTGCAAATTGTTCGCGTCGCTATTATCCAGGGGCATCAATCTCCAAGCAATTGACAGATGCTGCCATCTACCACCATTCCCCACCCCACCAGCACCTGACACACCGACACTGCCCACCCTCGCCGTACTGCACTTTTATGGCAAGACGAAATTATTTACTCTGCTCTTGCTACTGCTGCTCCTGCTGCTCTGTCAGCGATTCTGGTTGTCGCGGTGGCTGTGGCTGTTGCAGTGACTGCTGCAACCGCTCATTCCTTCGTTGCAATTGTCCACGCGGGAATTGGACAGCGATCGTTTTATGTGCTGACTGAGATCTGGTTATAAGGCAATTTGATTTGTTGGCAGTTTTCTGTAAATTGCAGGCCGCCTTTTGTCTGCTTGCCTAATTTAATTTGCTCATTTTTGTCGTTTTTGGTTCCTCAGCATTTTTTTATTTTTTATTTATGGCTAGTTGACAGTTTTTTCTGATTGGCCCCAAAATGTTGGTCATTTTTCGGCTGCTAATTTGGAGTGAGAGTTGCGGGAAGCTTGTCAAGTTACTCCGCAACATTTGACAGCAACCAAGATTGTGAAAAGTTTTGATAATATATTATATATATCTTCAATGATGACCTATGATCGTATTATAAATTTGAAATAGTGTCTTTACATTTAAATCTTTTTTATATGTAATCCTTGCATTTTTGCATACGTTCAGAAAGCCTTCAACTTCAGTCAGCTTTAAGTTGCGGTTTCCTCTTTCCATGGCCGAAATGACAGCAATCCCTGCAGCTTTCGCCATATCAATGCCGTACACAAAAAATGAACCAGCCAAGGGCCACTCCCAGCCAAGTCCTCCCGGCAAGGAGAAAGGAGAAAAAGAGAAAAGGGCTGTCCAATGCATTTCTGTTGCTTTTGACGCGGTTTTCCCACTCAGCTTTTCGGCATTTGTTCTCCCAGCAGCAGTAAAAAAAAAAAAAACGCAAAACCTGCGGAAAAAACAAGAAAATACTTTTGCAATTTTTAATTACAACGCTGAAAAGCGCCGAAAAAAAAAACATAAAATTTTGCAGTTCGCTTTAATTACCGCGAGCATGACTGAGTAAAAGAGAAGAAGAGAGATGCAGAAGCATTGAATCCGTTGGGAGGGGCAGACAAGATGGGGCATATTCTGAAGCTGATGCGAGAGTTGATGGTGGACGCTGATGAGGCGCACTTGGACAAAAGAAATGCAGCCGACGTCGACGACGCAATTATGGCAACATGAAAATAAAGAAATGTG